CCGACGACATCAAATGCATTCAGACGATGGTCATGTCGTTGGCAGCTGCGGTATCACGTCACATGTATTTGAACCGCTTGCAGATGTGCGTGGCGTTTTTTAGCCACACCGGCATATCATTTTGACGCGGCAATGACGGCAGCGCATTCGGACGTTCGTAACCTTGTCAGTAGCTGCGATGGCTTGTCGCATAATTGTCGAAGTACTTACAGTTGTGACTGGCGTGTTAGAACCATCTAGACACATCATTTTGACGCGGCAACGACATCAAATGCATTCAGAGATGGTCACGTCGTTGGCAGCTGCAATATCATGTCACATGATTTGAACCGCTTGCAGATGTGCGTGGCGTTTTTTTAGCCACACCGGCATATCATTTTGACGCGGCGACGACGGCAGCGCATTCCGACGTTCGTAACCTTCTCAGTAGCTGCGATGGCTTGTCGCATAATTGTCAAAGTACTTACAGTTGTAACTGGCGTGTTAGAACCATCTAGACACATCATTTTGACGCGGCAACGACATCAAATGCATTCAGAGATGGTCACGTTGTTGGCAGCTGCGATATCATGTCACATGTCTTTTGATCCGCTTGCAGATGTGCGTGGCGTTTTTTGAGCCACACCGGCATATCATTTTGACGCGGCGATGACGGCAGCGCATTCAGACGTTCGTAACCTTGTCAGTAGCTGCGATGGCTTGTCGCATAATTGTCGAAGTACTTACAGTTGTGACTGGCGTGTTAGAACCTTCTAGACTCATCATTTTGACCCGGCGACGACATCAAATGCATTCAGACGATGGTCACGTCGTTGGCAGCTGCAATATCATGTCACATGATTTGAACCGCTTGCAGATGTGATTGGCGTGTTTGAACCACCAAGCCATATCATTTTCACGCAGCGACGACATCAAATGCATGCAGACGCTTGTCACATCCCCGACCGCTGCAATATAATATCTCATTTATGCCTAAGTACATGCAAATATGCTTGTTGGTTTCGTAACTTCACAGACACATCATTTT